ATAGGGGAAAAGCTTCTTGATATTGGTTTGGGTAAACCGACTTATTAGATATGACCCCAAAAGGACGGGTAGTGAAAGCAAAAATAGCCAAATGAGATTACATGAAACTAAAAAATATTTTGTGCTCCAAAGAAATAATTAATAGAAGACACAAATTACCTATGGATGGAAGAAAATATTTGTAAAGTATATATCAAGTAAAAGGTTAAAATCCATAGTATATAAGGAACTAAACTCAATTTAAGGAAACAACCGCACTGAAACTGTACAAAGACCTGAATAGACACTTATTAATGGAAGACACACAGATGACCAACAGGTCTATATAAAACATTAAGTGCCACTAATTATTAGGAAAAAACAAATCAAAACCACAATAATATATATCACTTAATGTATGTTAGAATGGTTATCACCAAAAAGACATTATAGCAAGTGTTGGCAAAGATGTGGAGATAAAGGAACGCTTGCACACTGTCAATGGTAATGTAAATTGATATAGGCATTATAAAAAATAGTATGGAGGTCTTTCAAAATAATAAGAGTAGAACTCTCATATGGTCCAGAAATCTTACTTCTGAGTATATGCCCAAAAGAAATAAAATTAGTATGTCAGAGTAACATCTGCAATCCCATATTTATTACAGTGTTATTCATAATTGTCAAGATAGGAAATTAATCTAAATATTCATCAGTGGATGAATGGATACAGAAAATGTGGTGTATATATACCACGAAATATTACTCATCCTTAAAGAAGAGGAAGATTTGCCCTTTGAGACAACATAGATGGATATGGAGGACTTTATGTGAAGTGAAATAGGCCAAGCACAGAATGACAGATACTACATGATCTCACCTATATGTTGAATCTAAAAAAGTTGAACTCATAGAAACAGAGAGTAGAATGATGGTTGCCATGGGCAGGCAGAAGCAGAATGGAAGAAATGGAGAGATGTTGGTCAAAGGGTAAGAAAAAAGGGTATTCCTTTTGGTTATGCAAAAGAAATAAGTTTTAGAGATCTATATATTATGGTGACCATAGTAATACTGTTTTGTGTACTTGAAATTTGCTAAGAGTGTATATTCAAATTTTCTCATCACATACACAAAATGATAACTATTTGAAATAATGAATATGTTAATTGGCTGGATTGTGATAATCATTTCACAATGTATACTTATAGGAAAACATGTTGTATACTTTAAACATATATAATTTTTGTCAACTGTATCTCAATAAAGATAGAAAAAGTAAAGATAATATAAATATAATATTGATATACAAAATTTTGGCAAAAATGTGGAGCAACTGGAACTTCCACATGTTGCCAGTGGGAATGTAAGGTGGCACGCTACTTTGGAAAATAGTTTAGCAAAGTCTTAAAATGCTAAACACAAAACTAACATATGATGCAGCCATTCCATTTCTAAAAGATAAAAGAAAACATGTTCATACAAAGACTTATATACCAATGCTCAGAGAAGATTTATTTATAATAGCCAAAAGTAGAAATAGCCCGTATGTCTAACAATGATCGAATAGATAACCAAAATATGGTCTAACCCTACAATGGAATACTACTCAGCAATAAAAAGCAATGAACTAATGATACATGCAACAACCTGGATAAGTCTCAAAATTTATTTCTTCCTTAAGGAAGGAAAATAGACCAAAAATAGAATATCTACTATATAATTCCATTTATTTAAAGCTCTAGAACATGCAAAGTAATCTATAATGACAAAGAAAGCAGCTCAGGGTTTCCCTGCAGACAGTGAGAAGGGAGTAATGGATTATGAGGAGTCAAGAGGAAACTTTTGGAGATGGTAGAAATGTCATTATATTGATTGCATTCATGGGCCCATGGCATATGCATATGTCAAAAGCTAATGAATTGTGCATTTTAAATACATGTGGTCTATTGTTTGTCGATTGTACATCAATAAAGTCATAAAATTTTTAAATAGTGAAATAATAAAAATGGAAAAGAGAAATATATTCAATGAAGTATTAATATGATTACTTCACGAAAGAGGTAGGGATTGGAACAAAAAGCATGAGGCACATTATTAAAACCTAAGTAAAAATTATGGTACTTATTTTTGTTAATAGTAAAACCCAAATGCCTTACAAAGGCCTACGAAGTCATTGATGACTTGTGTCCTTTCTTTATTTCTCTATTCTTATTCACTACATCTCTCTCCATTGCTGGACCACCTCTACTCTAGACACACTGTCCTCCTTGAGACCTTGTTATTGGTTTTTTTTGCTCTGCCTGGAGCATTCTTCCCCCATTATTTACAAGACTCAGTCTCCTATGTCATTGGTCTACCATGACTCCCCAGCCCCAACTGAAACAGAAAACCCACTCCTACCCTGGAACTCTCAATCTCTCTTATCTGTTTTTATATAACAAATAAAATTTATGTTTCAAAAATACTGTATACATTGTTTTATTCTACTTATTGCTTATTTTCTATATCCTCTCACTAGCATGAAGTTCCAGGAAGAAAAAGACTTTTGTTTATATCATTTACCAATGTAGACTTAGCACCTAGCACAGTGACAAGCACTTGTGGTGTTTAGTAATTATTTCTTGAAGGGCTTTAGTATACACGTATTTCATATCTGCATGAAATATATATATATATATGAAATATAGGTATGATATAGACATAATATACTTTACTAAGTGCTTAGAAAAAATATGTAGATTTCAAAATTATTAATTCTACAAAGTCTGCATATTTGAGTGACATTTTTAACACACTTTTTAAAAAGTGATTCTTCTTTTTAAAATGTTTTAAAAAGTTGATAAAACAATCAATTAAAATATAACCCAGGTAAAGACTATAAATTATGTTAGATGAGATTGATTTGCTGTTGTTGGTACTTAAATTACATGTTACAAAAATAAATACCAGAAATTATATTTAATGAAATATTAAACTCTCAACCAGGATTTACTAACATGAAAGTCTGGTTACTTCTCCTTTTTACTGAATTGATGTATTACTTAGGCTGCATATTCTATTATGCAGCTTAAATGTAGGAAGAATAAGAAATTATATGCATTTCAACAAGAAAGCAGTTTGGTTTTTGAACTTGAATATTTTCCCTCAATTTGATGACTTAACCAACCTTCTAAAATAAAATCTTGGGGGAAATGTAATTTTTTTTCTTTTCATTTATTTAAAATGAATTTTTTGAATGACTATATACAGCACAGGTTATATTCCCATTTCAAGTATAAATAAAGAACCTCAGCCTGTAATCCCAGTACTTTGGCAAACTGAGGCAGATGGATCACAAGGTCAGGAGTTCAAAACCAGCCTGGCCAAGATAGTGAAACCCCATCCCTACTAAAAATACAAAAAATCAGCCAGGCGTGGTGGCATGCACCTGCAATTCCAATTACTTGGGAGGTTGAGGTGGAGAATTGCTTAAACCCAGAAGGCAGTGGTTGCAGTGAGATGAAATTGCACCACTGCACTCCAGCCTGGTGCCTAGCGACAGAGTGAGACTCCTAAAAAAAAAAAAGGAAAAAGAAAAGAAGAAGAAAAAAAGAACTCTATAACATATGTAACAGAATTCTTATGAGACTACAATTATAACAAAAAGAAAAAAGGGACTAATTTAAGAATAAACTCAGTTTCCAGCAAGGTAATTTTTCTGAAAATAGATTATGTCCCAGTTTACTTACATGCACAGAAGTAGACATACACGCATTTCCTTGTGAGGTCTAATGCATGAATATATAACTTTAAAAGTGTGAGTCACATTATAGCCACCTCACCAGGGAGTTTACTGGACTGGCTACATACAGGGAATTTATGAAAAACGAACTGAGAAAATCTGGTCCCACTATGGGTAAATTGGGGGGACAAGTTGAAGAATGTAAATTCAAACAACCAATAAACCAGATGGCTCAGAGGGGAATTTAATTGTTACACATAAAATTTAATATGGAACAGGCACCGGCAAGGTAAGTTACTCTTTAAAACTCACAGTGCAGCAGGAAAACCTCAGTGACTGGAATTCTGAGAATTCCTGCATTTCAGACAGAAAATTTCCATTGTTCAACAACCTGCTCACTAACAGACAAGCAGAAAGAAAGAACGAAAAAAAAAAAAAACAGTAAGAAAACATCAATATGAAAAGACTCTTATTTCTAAAAAATAAAGTTTAAAGCCACTATTTCATACTCAGATTTCCTGTTATTTTATATTTGCGTGTTATTCAATTTGCTTTAATGACAGGTTAGGGACTACACACAAAATTACCATAAAAGAGAAAATAAAGTGATATTCAGATGATAATGGTAACTGTATACTTTTTCCTCTTAAGTGTGATGTTGATTAAAATGTAGAAATGAAGAAATTAACAGGGCTGTGAAATTTGACTTTGTGAATGCTCAGATCTCTGGAGACATTTGATCTCATACCATGGTTATGTCGCAATGCAGTGGGAAAATATACAATCTCACTGTTAAAGAAGTGCACTTTTGAGTTGTATTATCCCCCGGATATTTACAGAGGGTCAAAAAATGAGGTTTATTTACCTTTTTTGTGTCACTTATCTCTCTGGAAGTAATGGTCCTTGTCATCTGGGCCCAGTGTTACCTGAGTCACAAGAAGTTATTTTGCTTAGATTTTCACAATTCTATAGAGTATAAAAAATAGTACGTTTTTAAAGAAAATGTGGCACATATATACCATGGAATACCTTGCAGCCATACAAAAGGATGAGTTCATGTCCTTTGCAGGGACATATGTAAAGCTAGAAACCATCATTCTCAGCAAACTGACCCAAGAACAGAAAACCAAACAGTGCATATTCTCACTCATAAGTGGGTGTTGAACAATGAGAACGCATGGATATAGGGAGGAGAACATCACATGCCAGGGCCTGTCCAGGGTGGGGGATGCTAGGAGAGGGATAGCAGAGGGTGGGGGCATAGGGGAAGGATAGCATTAGGAGAAATATGTAATGTAGATGACAGGGTGATATATACAGCAAATCATGATGTCATGTGTATACCTATGTAACAAACCTGCACATCTGCACATATACCCCAGAGCTTAAAGTATTAAAAAAAATAGTGCATTTCCTAGACCTCATGTGCCCTGCTTCTCATTTGGTGTTCCCAGATTCTCATCTGAAGATAATCAATCATGGCATGAGAATAAAAACTCAGTCCCCAAAGGGGAATGTCACTTAAATACTTGAATATAATGTCTTTTGTTTTCTTTTCTGTCTCTCTTCTATCAATGCATCCTTCAAACACTCTTTCACCTAAGATTTTGGAGATCCATATCATGGGAGAAACTTCACACAAATTTACAAGATGTTTTCCTGGGCTGGGTGTTACTGTTTATAACTACAATGCAAGTCACTTTCTGAATATGAAGCTAATTGCACTGCATCTAACTTTGGTCTCCATGTTTATTCATAACAAATTTCTTTTTTTTTCCCATTTATTTATTTTATTGCATTTTAGGTTTTGGGGTACATGTGAAGAACATGCAAAATTGTTGCATAGGAACACACGTGGCAGTGTGATTTGCTGCCTTCCTCCCCATCACCTACATCTGGCATTTCTCCCCTGCTATCTCTCCCCAGCTTCCCGCCCCCCACCGTCCCTCCCCTATTTCCCCCCAACTGACCCCAGTGTGTAGTGCTCCCCTCCCTGTGTCCATGTGTTCTCATTGTTCAACACCCGCCTATGAGTGAGAACATGCGGTGTTTGATCTTCTGTTCCTCTGTCAGTTTGCTGAGAATGATGGTTTCCAGGTTCATCCATGTCCCTACAAAGGACCCAAACTCATCGTTTTTGATGGCTGCATAATATTCTATAGTGTATATGTGCCACATTTTCCCTATCCAGTCTATCGTCGATGGGCATTTGAGTTGGTTCCAGGTCTGTGCTATTGTAAACAGTGCTGCAATGAACATTCGCGTGCACGTGTCCTTATAGTAGAACAATTTGTAATCTTTTGGATATATACCCAGTAATGGGATTGCTGGGTCAAATGGTATTTCTATTTCTAGGTCCTTGAGGAATCGCCACACTGTCCTCCACAATGGTTGAACTAATTTACACTCCCACCAACAGTGTAAAAGTGTTCCTACTTCTCCACATCCTCTCCAGCATCTGTTGTCTCCAGATTTTTTAATAATCGCCATTCTAAGTGGCGTGAGATGGTATCTCAATGTAGTTTTGATTTGCATTTCTCTGATGACCAGTGATGACGAGCATCTTTTCATATGTTTGTTGGCCTCATGTATGTCTTCTTTTGTAAAGTGTCTGTTCATATCCTTTGCCCACTTTTGAATGGGCTTGTTAGTTTTTTTCTTGTAAATCTGTTTTAGTTCTTTGTAAATTCTGGATATCAGCCCTTTGTCAGATGGGTAAACTGCAAAAATTTTTTCCCAATCTGTTGGTTGCCGATTCACTCTAATGATTGTTTCTTTTGCTGTGCAGAAGCTGTGGAGTTTGATTAGGTCCCATTTGTCTATTTTGGCTTTTGTTGTCACATAACATATTTCTTACCTCTTTTTTTTTTTTTTAAACTAAGTAGCTGTAAGATGCCACATACTCTTCTCACCCCCATAGGTCTTAGAAAGTGAGTTTAAACTTTCCATTCATTTACAAAGTATTTTAAAGAGATGTGTGAAGTGCATAGACACATGAACACAATTATGAAAATTATATTATCTAAAAGCAATTTACATGTATTCCTTTCTGTGTTATGAATTCTGCATGAGTTTTCAGAGATTATGAAAGTAGGAGCAGAGCTTTTCTAAAGTAATAGCATCAGAACAAAGTGTTTTATGCAAGCTATTCAGTGTCAACTTGTTGGACAAGTCAACTCAGAGCCACCATTACATGGATGCACATGCCTTGTCTTTGCAGGAGCTGCCTTAGTTAATTACTTAGCAAGGAGAATGCCAGCAGCCACCCAAGTTTTCAAAGAGGCACAGAGACAAAAATCCTACATTCATTTCTTCATTGTGCTTTTTAAGGAATTAGGAACAGGTTTCTTTGGAATATAAAGCTAAGGAGCAGAATTCTTATTACTATGGGTCATCTTAAAGTTAAGATTCATTTTCCTTAGAAAGAGCTGGAGATAGTGTAATCCATATCTATTTTTTAACTTGAAAATTGTGAGGGATTTCTGATTCCATCAATCATTTTAAGAAATTTTTAAAATGTAAATGTTAAAGAAAATGATGTAACTAACCTTTATGCTCCTATAATTTTTAAAAATTTTCACCATTTTGCCAAATTTGCTTCAAGTGTTATTGTAAGAAAAGGATACAGATAGAGTTGAAGTGTTATTTGGCTTACTCCATGTCATATCTTCTTGTCTATTTTTACAGAGGCTGTCATTATCATGATTTTTATTTCACATTTCCATATATCTATATATGTATCAATTAATGTCTATTATATTTACCACTCTTACATATAGTGTCACATAACATAGCTTATGCATTATTCTGAAAGTTGCTATTCATGTTGATTTTCATATATTTATGTTGTATATATGTAACATATACACACAAACACACACACACACATACCCTTATAGAGAGTAATCTATTTAGCTATCTAGAGAGTTTATTCTGGCCAGGCATGGTGGCACACACTTAAAATTCTAGCACTTTGAGAGGCTGAGGTGAGTAGCTCACTTCAGCTTAGGAATTTGAGACCAGCGAGACCAGCCTGGGCAACATGATGAAACCTTATCTCTACATAAAATACAAAAATTAGCTGAGTGTGGTAGCATGTACCTGTAGTCCCAGTTACTTGGAAGGCTGAAGCGGGAGGATCACTTGAGCTCAGGAGGTAGAGGCTGCAGTGAGCTGTGATTGCGCCACTGTACTTCAATCTGGGTGACAGAGTGAGATCTGGTCTCCAAAAAACAAAAACAAGAAAGGGAGAGAATTAATTATTTAAAGTTTTAATTTTTTCGTAGTGTAATTTTACTATTTTTAAATTTAATCCCCTGTTCCTACAAATAACTAGTTAGAAGTGTTGTACATGTTTCCTTGCCCATGTGTGTGAATTTCTTCAGGATATTACTGTACTTAGTAGTGGAAACTTTGTGCCATAGAGTGTATACACATACAAACTATTATTTTCTGCAAAATCACCCCAGGATGGTTGTACCAACTACAGTCGCAACAATGTTTCTCTTCTTTATCTGCTTTTGTTCATTCCAATTTCCTTTTTCTGTAAGTTGCCTGATCATAATGTTGCCCATTAGTTTGTTGCTTTTCTTTCCCACTCAGATTTCCTCTACCATAACGGTTTCCTAGTACTGAAGAGCTGCCTTTCCCAAATATCCTCAATATCTTACTGTTCCCATCCAATCCCACACACAATTTAGTCATATGTTATATTGGCATAGCTATAGAACAATGTCAGGAAATGGCAACAAAAGAACTTATTAATCTGTTATTAATATCAAACAAGCCCTTTTATCTTGGCATTATACAAGTACCATAAAGTCCATATTTCTGGACCAAACATTTTTCAGTTTGAGTTCACAGTGAAGGGAAATGCTAAACAGGGACTTGTAAACAGTCTGATATGTGAAATTATTATCCACACTACCAATAAAAAGTTTATGTTCCCCTCACCCTCCCATTTTATGGTTATTTGCAGGCAAAATACAGAAAAAAAGGATAGAAATTGAGGATTTATATAATGATCAGCTAAGAACTATTTGAAGAAATAAAATATTCTTAGTTTATCGTGACAAAGAACTGGAACAGTTGAAACTATAAAATACGCGGATGAGGATTCAACAATTAAAATCTGAAATGTGAGCTGTTGTAGGTTGATTTTTCCCCCCAGTGGGTGGTAAATGACTTGATTTTAGAAATGAACATCTTATAGCAGACAAGAATGAGGTAAGACCAGTGTTGGACATAGCAGCAAAGCATAAGACCATTAGGAATTAAAATAAAAAGGAAATTAACTCAATTTCCCAGAAAAGACAATTGAGTTAGCTCTGTCTAGGAAGCTCTCTAATTACTTAGAGATGGGGCAAAGTCAATGACTAACAAATAATTCTTAAGGTGTGCAAGAAAATAGCTGCTTTATTTTCAATTAATACAGTCTTGCTCTTAAGCTCCTAACCTGTTGAATAATGATGAAAGGAGTAAGGACTTAAAATGACAAGTGAGGATAGCCTTGACTTTTCAGGTTTAAACCAGTTGATTCTATTTTTTATGGGTAAAAATTCAGTATTTCAGAGTTTTTTTCTTATTCCACAGTAACATTTCCAAGGTACCAGTCAGCAAAAGAGATATCCTATAGACATCAGCTTCAGAAGTTCAAGATCATGGCCATTAGCCTCTGTTCACGGGCCTTGTATGCCACGAGGTTTTCATTTGGACCACAAGATGTTAATCTTCTGCTCATTCTACAGTTCTACATAGAAACCCTATGTGTGCAGGCTATGAAGAAACAGGACAGCTCTACCCTTTGATCATTTGCTTCAAGTTCATATGTATTAGCAAATGCCTGTCATGCTGGATACGGTACCAAAATAATGTGATGTTATTGAAGAAGAGTTTTGTTTTTTTCCGGGT